TACGTATCATAGTTTTATTCCTTCCACGGTCGGGGAAAAAATGTAATTGGCCCGACCGAAATCTATCGCCAGGACACCGTGGGAGGGGTGGGACGAGCGCCGAGGGATGCCAGGGGATGAACGAAGGAGAAAAAAAGCACGTGTGCGAACGGGCGACTGGTCGTAATAACAATGATTAGCACGACGAGAACGGCCCATGAAAAAAAGAAGAGCAGAAGGAAGTCCTGCCTTGGCTCCGTCTCAAAATGGCGGCCACCGGACCACGTGCAACCATCGTTGGTCCCAGCTTCTTCGATCATCCCAACGAAAATCCTCCAACCGAACTGTTCGTTGATTTGGCAAACATAGGCTCTACTTAAAAAAAAAGACTTCGTTTGCCTATGACTCGAAAGGTTCTACGCTATTGGTATAGTGATTGCGATAGGATAGAAAATATTATGTAGACATCAATGTTACGTTCTGCTAATGGAAGTCTGTATTACAACGACGAAGAAAGAATATTCTCTTTGGTGCTAAAATACACCTTGCCATTTGAAGTCTGCATAGAATAATCACGTAACACGACATTTGGCGATGTCAAATTAGCAGACGAGTGCCGACTTATGGGAAAGTTGTTCGTTTGCGGTTTAATTTCAGGGTGGTCGTAGCTAGCGCCACTATCCCGAGGACCAAGAACCACGATCCTCTCTTATCTTCGTATCTCCGAGTAGGTTAAATCGAGGGTTAACTCTTCGTCGTCGTCTCCTTCTTTCGTGTTACGATGCACCGAGCTGGAGGAGGAGGAGGAGGAGGAAGAGGGTCCAGCATTGTTCGCGGACATTGTAAGTATGTCCGGAACAAAGAGCGGTAATCGACCCGTGTAACATTTATAACGTAATGGGAGGGCCTCACCGGCCCGTAATAATATCAATTACGGGCCAAGCGGAGAAAGCGAGAGAGAGTCTGGGCCACGGAGAAAGAGAGACTAGAGAGAGAGAGAGAGCCAGAGGGTGGAATAGAGGATGAGGCTTTAGATCGGAGGAGCACATTGGCGACGCGGATTCGCGAATCTGTCGGCCAGAAAATTGACCGACGAACCCTCTCCAGCCAGCCAGCTGTCTTCAAGATCGGCAGAGGGCCTCGTGACGTTCTCGTTAACTCTCGTAATCGAGCCTGACTGTAACCAGATTCGAATTTAACTATATCCGAGGCTCTCTAACCCCTAGCAGACCAAAATGAAATTTTCGAGTGGCGCAAATTGCATGATTATTTATCAAAAATACGAGAGCAACTACTTCGCTTGGACTGTCGCATCGCCCATATATGGATGTACCACTAGAGAACTAGAAAAATTAGTTCTTATGTTGAGACGTAGAGGGGAATAAATATTGAGCAGGGTTTGTGAATCACGAGTAAGATTACAAAAAGGAGTAGCTACCGAAACAAATTTTAGGTCATCTAGTTTACAATGCAATTGGGATGTTGAAAGGAAATAAATTTGGAAAAATTTGGAGTTTGGTTTACGATGGTTTAAAATCAAAATTTTAGTCTTGCGGAATACTGTACGGTTTTAATCCGGCAGTGAACGCGTTAACTAGTCTGCTAGTTGGTGATAGAAGTCGTGAAAAGGAAAACAACGAGATTTCTGACTGAGATCGATGGGGTGCGTAAGCGTAGCGGACCGACACGTCGCGAGGTAATCGGAATCAGCGTAGAGGCACCGAAACAGTGCCGGGGCAAGGTCGAGAAACGTATCGAGGAGGGCCTGAGACCCTCCGTTTTTTAATATCGCTCTCCTCTCGCAAGGTTTTATTTAATGGCGAAGGCGGTAACCGCGCATAGAGCAGCCGACCAATGGGAGGCCGGCTGGAAATCATACGCGGGATCGCCGGCCGCACGGCTGCCTCCGAGAGTGGAGGTGAAGTTAGGTTAGGTGAGGTTATGTTCGCTCCCCGCGTCTCCTTAACATTCGACGGGCCTGTCCCGGCACGGCATCGCTCTTGCAAGAGGTGGGGCTCCGACTCTTCGATCGGCGTCGGGCATTTCTTCTTCTTCTTCGTCTGACTCCATCCTTTTTTATTTACCTGCCTACACTTTTTCACCGGCGTTCTCCACCTCTTCTTCTTTCGTCGCTCCGTCATCGCCTCCTTCGCCCTTCCGAGACTCGCCCGCGAAGGGTACACTATATACTTAGCATTGCTTTCGTTTTAGGACGAGAACGCACAGCGAAACATCGAGATAAGTAAACCGTTATCGCGAATATAAATAAGGGGGGAAGGGGGGGCTACGAGTGCAGGATCGAAAGTAGAACTCGGTCTTCTCCTCGATTTATGCCACGGTTGGGCAAATTTCCTTCCCAAATTACGAACAAAACCCTCGTTGCAGCATCGTGTTCCCTGAAGTTTTTGCTATTCGTATTAATTACTCGCCAGCGTTTAGAAATAACATCCTTCAACAGGAATTTCACCGTATCCAATATGGCGTCGACATCTTTCCATCGTATAATCGTTTTCAACATCAATTGACTCGTGTTTTTCTCTCGTTTATTCAATTATTTTTATTATTATTAATAAGAATCTTAGATTCATTCCTAAACTAACACATTCTCTCATTTAGGAAGATTTAAGCGGAACATAAGCATATATAACCTGATAATTTATAAAAAATTATTTTACCCCGTCGTTATTGTAATGGTTCTCGACGATGCACCTGTATGACGTTTACGTTACGAAAGATCGTTTTGAGGTTGTAAACTCTATCTCGAATACGATCCTTGTTCACGATCGATCTCAGTATTTTGCACATCGTATTCGAGCGAGTGCTGTATTTGTTATCAATTTGCCAGGCGATTCGAGGCGTTACGATCGAATATTTAAAGAGTCCTTTATACCGGACTCGTTTCGAAAGACGATGGAAAATCTCGACAGAGCCGTGGCGCGTACGTACTCGGATAATTCTCAGCATTGTTGGATTGATTTGTGAGCGCAATCGATGGACGAGGGAAACGTATCGCGTATAAGATACTTCGTATCGATATCTGGTTAGGATTACCGTTGGGTTGCATTTCAACTTCGCAGCTTCTGCTACTCCTGTCCTAATAATCGGGTTATCGGCCATCGATACGCCGAGAACTCTAATTACATTCTTCTGTGTTACTGCTTAACCGTGCTGCGCGCAATACCCTTCTCTTCTGTCAATACCGAACAAAGCGTTTCGCAATTCCTTTCGAGTACAAGAAATTACGGGGTACGATTCGAAGACGTGGGAAGTGGAGGAGCTCTTCGAAGACCGAGAAACTCCGCGGGATTGTCGATGCTGCGGATCTGTCGATTACAGATAATTAGCGACGTCGGACGAATGGATTTCTCGGTGGAATTTTATTGAAAAAAAAGGAAAAGAAAAATACAAGAAACCGAGGAGTACGTATGTTACGAGCTGTCGGTTGAAAAATGCTTTGAGGACACGCCATCGGATGGTTACTGATAAGGCGTGTTTCTTGGTAGTGTGTTTGGCCGGGAAGGCTCCGCGATCAGGAAATTGATCAAACGACCAACGACAAATCCCACGTCGACGTCGTAGATCCGAGACGTATCGTAAAAGGAATTAGAAATCCGCGCTGTTTTCCACGTTATTCGGATCCGTTCGCGGAACAGACGTCGATCTCCCGTAGATCTCGGTTAAATTATAAATAAAAAAAACTTGTTAAACACGAGCGACAGATTTCTCCGGCGATCGCGTGATCCTGTCGTTTACTCTGGAATAACAATCACGTGACAATGCGTTTCTCGCGTGCCTCATCCCACGTCCGATTAATCCGCAATCTTTACACGGACGACTGCGTTGATACTGTTAATTATTAATTAGCTACAAGAGCGTTAGCATATTAATCAACGCTTTTTCTGCCCGTTACGATCCGTTCGAGGCCTCTGCTTAACGAGGCTGCTGCAAGAATCTCTATAAGATATATTTCTCCTATAACGCATGATTTTTCACCGAGCAGCTGAAAAAATTGATTCTCAAGATCAGATGTCAAAGAAATTTGGACACAACTCATGAATTTCAACGAGGCTGTAAAAAAAAAAATTCCAATTGTCTGAGAACAAAGTTTCTTATTTAACAATAATTGGGTTAAAAAAGAAATTCAAAAATATTCAAACCCCTGAATGGAGAATAAGATATAAACGCAATCACCCTTATGGATTTATTTGTACGCCCTGGGTAGGGGCTATAACGGTGCTGGCAATAAGGCATAAATAATTATTCTATACGAGTGCATCGAACTAGAAGAAATTAGAAGAAAGTGGAGAAAAGCAGCCATTGATGCAGTCGCGCGCCTTCTGTTGATTCTTGCGTGTATCGATCGATGTGACCGTAATTTTCGGATCGCGTGCCACATCACCTGCCACCTTCCTTTCCGATGCGGACCAATGTTATCGGAACGCCGACGGTTTTTCCTCAAACCCGTATAATACTTTATTTTTCACGCGGCTTTGTTTTTCAACGCGTGCTTTCAGGGACGGAGACATAAGAAACCGATTGCATCTTGTTCGCAAGTTCACGAGCAATTAATTTTATTTCCCTGACTATAATTACTATCCTGAGTACACTTCCAAGTAGCATTTTCTACGTCGTCCGCGTGGATGTCGATTTAAGAAAGTTTATTCCAAAAATTCTAAACGCAGGAATTTGTACAGAAAATTGGATGAACATCGATAGTCGACAACTTATGACCTTTGCACAGTACATTTGCACCTTTTGAGAAAAGTTTTGGGAAAGCGAAGAAGCACAATTGTCGGTTTACGTATGAATTGTTTACGCTTGGAGTATTTTAGCTATCAACACGAGGGCGTATCTGAAAAGTAGACGACAAGTTATTTTCGTGTTTAGAGATCAGTCGAGCAATTTTGATTTTTTTTCGAGCCACCCTGAGTGCATGGTTGTGTATTTCGGAGTTGTATTGGAAAAATGGCGCGCAGGACGGCGACACGGCAATCACGTTTCCGTGTTCTTTTCTGTTGCAGGTGCAGCGCCGACGCATGGACAGAGAGGGGAAAAAAGAGAACGAGAACCTTGAACCAATCGTAAATGGCGTGGAGTGAAAGCGGTTGGTCTCCGCGGTTTTCCCAGAAGAGCGCGCGAGCCACGAAATTATCGACCTGTAAATCGGAACGAGGGATCTCGTTTCTTGCCTAGCGAATAGCCCTGCTCGTTCATGAGGAGAAACACCTTCGAAACAGAACGCGAACACCGTACGAATTTATCAGAGTAAATGTTAAAATCTACAAACTGGCAATTGGAGTTCTCTTTAGAACGAAGTCCCTAAAATGCGACCGAAATTCTGTAATTTTTATGGATTATTAGCAAATAAATTAACGATTATAATGTAGTGTGGTTCAAATGTTACTATGTGAGAAAATCTATGGCCTCCTTTCTTCTCCCAATAGTCTTCCTATAAGAATTAGTGATCGCTAGAAGAGTGTTAAACATTGAAAATGATTTAGAAAACGCAATGGTGGATTCGAGCTTATCGATAACCGTTGGTTCGAGCATCCTTCGAGAGTACAGCTAACGCATAGTTTCATGCATTTTCCAACTAGCCCGAAGAAACGCGTAATCTACACAGTAATAAATTATTATTCAAGATGAAAAGATTCCAGGTACTGTCGGTCCGCGGAATAAATGACATTCCTTTATTAAAACCACGTCAGAAAATAATGCACACACGCGAGCTTTCATCAATCACTCTGTTGCATTGCCCAAGGATGTTTCGCCGATGGAAATCTTTAAGTCAATGGTCCCGACCACGTTTCTGAAGCAAGCCGAACGTCGTTAGGGTAATGGCGACGTTAAACGTCCTCCTTGTATCTTCATTCATAATCTGGCAAATAAGCGCAGCCAACGAAGCACCACAGGTATTTGTGTCGGGGTCCAGTAAGAACCCCGATGTTAATATCCAACGATCGATAAAATAGACCATTTATTACATCAACGGGGTGGCAACGAGTCTTTCAGATCCAATATGGCCGCCGTTCATCCCATCCCAGGTACATATAATTTGTCACTGTTCGTAACCCTACTTTCTTAAACGATGTGTATTCTGCAGGGAGAGTGAGAGAAATTTCAGCGTAGTCAGAAGTATATCTAGTTTAGTATATCTGGTTTAATAGATTGCCTGTGTTCTGGTTTAATATTCGACAACCGATTGAGAAGTGTATGCCACTTGAACACTTGGGAGAGAGCGTAGCCCTCTGTTGACAAACGTGGGAAGCCACAGCTGTGTTTTAAGAACGAAACAAAGTAGTCGGTGCCCGGCAAATGGTACTACCGGAATTACTCCCTGCCCACGTGAACTCATAGAATATCTTGTTCTTTTGAATCGTCAGAAAATATTAATCGATCAGGAACGATGGCCGCGCCCACGGGGAAAGGATTCTACTCCGTAGCTGGAACGATCGAGGAGATTCGACGTTGACACTCCGCGGACAATACCCCGTTGACTCGATTACACAGGAGTACCGTTAATCATCTTAATAGCGCGCGTATAATGTCAGATACGATCTGCGCGCGCCGGCTAGATCCGTGCCACGCTCCTCCGCGGCTCGAAAGCCCACGTTCGGTTCGAGTTGCGCAGGATACGCCAAAGACAAAATGATATCGCCACGGTTGAAAGACGCCGTGGTCCGTGAATGGGCGTAAGAGACAATCGCGAGGCGCCTGAATTCCGATTGGACGTTGCCGTCTAATTGAGTCATCGTGTCACGAGGCGACGCAATAATCGTTCGTCGTGTCGAACGATCCGTCTTTCAGCGTCGAGCGTTCGGCAGAGATGTCGCGGGCCCCGAAGATCCATACGTAGATCGGTGTCCAATTACGCTCAATTACCCGCGACGATAATCGGCCACCGTCGATAAAAGAATCATTACTCGGCGACCGATCGGTTAGAACGTCGACCTTGACTGGTTTCGCAAGATTATGACGATAAAAGTGACGAGGCGAAATTGCCCAACGATGAAATATGGTCGACGACGACGCTGATTAGGTGTCGATGATACTCGATATATTTCTGTTAACTTCGTCAAAATTTGCGAATACTAGTTTATCTTGAATCTCATACCTAGAGAATTAATTTTTCGTCGTGTGTTGCAAGTACCCTGCATTTAAATTGATGCGATTGTAGTATCTGAAGACTATATAGTTTGAACTTGAATAGTTGTTTTGGTGTTTTAATGCTTTAGTGTCAGAGGAAACAATTTCAGAAATCTCGAGGTAGGTGGTAGACCGAGTACTTGTGAGAAAGGTATAGGATGAACGTAGCCCCCTGGAGGTGATGCCACGGTCGCTCATATATGGACGTTGATTTTAACTAATTGAGATCCGAGTTCGTTTTAATAAATTTAGGGTCAAGAATGATACTCCACGACCTTCCTTAACCCATAGATCGGCGCTTGGGGGGCACGGAAACTATCACTGTTTCTTGTCAGGGGGGAAATAAAATTTCCACGCGGATTAAACTGGAATCCCGGTAATGATCTCGACCGTCAGAAATAGAATCGTGTGACGTCGTTAAATGTGCATTCGTCGAGGCCCATTTCGCTGGAATCCGAACGATGGGGAGCATTTTCGGAACGAGTTGCCGGAACATCGCGTGCTGCCGAAATATTCTGGAAATATGCTAATTACCAGTTAGTCAGTTTCTTGTGGCATTGCGCCCGTTTCTACGATCGCTATTGCCTCAACCCCCCAACCCCGTTCCCCCTTTTTACCTTGCCCCACCGGTTTGTTCCTTTTTACCGTTTCTTCGTCCTGGTTTCCAGCAATATTCTCGTCGATTCGTTCGACCGACTGGGATCGTCTTTGCGTCGAGCATGCGACGATTCGTCGCCGTATTCGCTAGCGACGGGACTGGCACTGAAACTATTCGATACTTTATTAGTAAAATGAACGCGTTACTATTGTTGGAACACCCGGTATTCTTCGCCAACAACATTGTCTCTTAACCAATTCTTGTTACCGTGGCGTCGTTAGATCCTCGATCCTCCGGAGGGCTCACCGGATCATTAGACGTCTTCCGGTTCCGCGGCGAGCCGACGTAAGCAGGACAAAACACCATAAACCATATTAAGCAGGCCCATAAAACCCTCGTGCGCCCGTGTACGCTTGATTTTGAATTCTGGGAAGGAACCCCGATCAGGATACACCCGTGACATCAGCCGACGTGTGTCGTGTGTATTTATTGAGACAATAAACCGCAATTATGGTCACCGTATAAACGACTAACAATCCTCCTTGTGGTCGCCGATTGCAATATTTTTAGTCGAAACACCGAACTATGAAAATTTACTTTCGTAAAATACAGGGGAATGTTTAGTCGGTGACCCGTTATAAAAAGAAAGAATAATTAATTATGAATTAGTTTTTTTTCAAGTACTGTAGCTTTCACGTTTCCGTAAATACGATGATATTTTCTCTAAACTCTTTCGTTCCTATTTTTCTGTTTTTATTTGGTACAACAACCCCTTTGATCGTTTACAAACGGAGCGCCAACGAGATCAAACGAATCAATCTCGCTCTAACGACGAACTCGTCGAGTGACCATGAGGTCCCCGGTGCCCGCAGCTTCGCTTCGTCCAGCGGATTTAATGATTATTACCGCAGCGATGATTGCACCATAAAACAACATATTGCCGTACCTGGAACTCCGCGGCGATGAAACTTCGGCTAGCCCCGTGCAACCTCCGGGGCGATAATAGAGCTGCCCTCGTTTCCGGTTGTTCTGCGCACTGCCCGGCGGAACGTAAAGGTCCAATCGTCACGATTCCGACGTTCGAGAGCCACGTTAGAAAATTTACCAAGGTGCCACGGGTTAAATCCTAACGGGGCAGCAGGACGCTTTCCAGTTCTCAGACGTCGCTACTTCCAGGTTGCAAGTAGAACAAAATGTAAATTAAATTCAGCAGCTTCGATGGCAAATATAAGTGCCTTCATCATCGGCCAAAGAAAATTATTTTCTAAATTTCAATCGTCTAGTGGGCCCATGAAAGAAACCATTAGATCCTAGATTTCAGTCCTAACGTAACCAAAAATAATGCAATTTTAGCATCGATGCTTGTTTACGTAATGTACAAAAATTATCTTCGTATATTAAAAAAGAAGAGAAAGGTATTCTTATGATATCTGAATCGTGCTGAAAAGTATTATAAATACCTGTCCCATTCCCAGTTTTAAATTTCCAGATACAGTTGGGTGATTTGTTCTTCCCGCGGCGACGTTGGAAGTCCATTAATAATTGCAGGGATTTGTTTCCTCCGGCCTGTTCGTTCATTTTGAATGAATTCCACGGTTCGAGTGTGGGTGCAGCGACGCGGTATCGAATCGCACGAAACCCTACGGGAAACGGGGGCCGTCCTACGCGCGATTTCGAATGAATTTTTCATTTTTTTCCCCGCCGGCGTTACGAAGATCGCGTCGGCAAACGCGCGACGGTAGTGTCGTATCGCGTGTAAACGCGGGCGGTACATATTCAATTAATTCAGGGCGGATGTTGTAGGCCGGCGATACAGCGGTAGGGGTCGCTCCTCGTTCCTCAAACGGGAGAATGACCGTGTACGCCGTAAAGTTAATTAATGGGAGCGAAGACAGAAAGTATGTACGCTCGCGGTACGTGCAACAAAGGAGCAAGGAACGACGCCCAGCAGGTGTCGGGAAATCTTCTTCAATTACGACGCTGCGTCACAATGTTACGACGAACCCCAATCCTACGATTCTGGACGCGCATACCCTCGCTAATGTTCGCGGAGTCATCCTCGTTAATTCTTGAAACTGCATCCACTAGGTGAACGTTGCTGGTCATTAAATGTTCGTACGTAAGATTAATCAAAATTCCACTAAAACGTGAAAAATGAAGTTCAAAAATAGGGAAGAAGAAATACACGAAGACTCGATGTTGGAGCAATTAAAAATACGATATGAAAGAATTGACAGTAGATCACTTTCGTTACGTTAGTAACGAATCAGCCTTCATTATTTTAAAATTGAGCTTCCAGACAATTATGCAATTTGTAAAACAAAATTACGTATGTATTGATTTCTGAATGATTTTGGAATCTGGAATAGTACTCCTCCCACGATAACGTTCGGTCTGATCCAAGATT